TATATGTATATAGATATAGATATGTAGATAGGTCGACCGATGCTTAAGCGCATGCTAGGCTTAGTCATGAGGTGCGACAGGTCCAAGAGTGAGATACGGTAGTCCAGCCAGTTGTGCAAGAGCAGGTCGTGCATCAGTTCGTCATGTGTGTGTGGTTCCTTCGTCTGCAGGCCTTCCACGGCCGTGGCTTGTTCGCAACGAGTGACCTGGACGTCACTGACAGATGTGTGTTGAGCTTGCGGAGGCCGAGTGATGGGCGTGATGTTCGAGAAGCTCGAGGCCGGAGTTTCAGGTGCGAGCCCAATTCTTCCTCTGGCCTTCGGAGGCAAACCAGGCAATGGCCTCGCCCGTCCGGAGCGAGCCATGTCAAGCCGACATCGAAGCAGGCGCACTCGCCATCACCCCAGGCCCCACGTTTTGTGGGCTCTTCCTCTGAGCCGCACAGGTCCATGCACAGGCCAACGAGGCGGCCCGCCTCTTCCAAAGGCTCGGTGCCCGGGGGCGGTAAGGACAAGCCCACAGCTAGGAGCGACGGCCGATGAACCGAGGGACAAAGAAATCAACCGACTCGGCGAGAATCACTAGAACTGCACAGATCTCGAGCCGCCAACTGCAGACTGCCCTCGTGCTAACATCTGCAAAAGGAGCGAGTGGGGTCGGAGGGGACGAAAGGTGGACATCAATGGGCGTTGCGAAGGCCCGGCGGGCTGGAGCCCAGGATTGTCAGAGGCACCCCGTAGGCCAAAGCACGGACAGAAAACCTTGATCGTGGAAGTTTTGATACTACGGGACGGTCGGTCGTGACGAACTGGCCCAGAGCATCCGGGCAAGTCGACAAGACTATGAGGGCCTAAGGCTTAAGCGTGCCATCGCCATCGCCGAGACTTTGATGGCGGGAAACCGCAGAATCGCCAACCCACCCGTACAGATCCAGGAGAGCCCACCCATCGATATTTGGCTTCGTCATAAAGGCTCCCGCCCCCCGCCGGTCGCATCGCAAACTTCTCTGAGCTCGAATCGCGTTCAAGTCTGCAGACGTTCCGCATCGGCATGAGGCTCTTGCTGAACGTAAACGCCGCCTCGTCCGTCATTTGGATAACATTGGTGATGGGCGAATGTAGACAGGCTGCGTGGAAACGACTGGGTGCCATATGATGCATCTTCTGGCGTGTGCAGAGATGGCCAGGCTAGGCTTTGCAGATGCCGTGGGAGTAGGCCTCGTGGGGCTGGTGGTGTCCTCCGGGGCCTCGGCCCTGATCGCGCGCGAGCTACAATCCGTGGTACACCTGCGCATCTCTTGCATCATCTTGCTTTTCTCTTTATCTTTCATCTCTCTCTTCTTCGCTTTCGCTCTCTTCGTGACTTGGTTCAGGAGAGCCTCACCAGGAAGCGCCCCGGGGCCGGCCTCCGAGCGCCCGCAGCGCGGGGCCCCCGCCGTGTCCGCCCCGCGATCGTGATCGAAGCAGAAGCCGTGGCCTCGGCCCCCCCCCCCCCCTTTTCTTCTTGGGGTTCCTTGGGTCCTTGCCTTTTGTGCGTTTGGGACGGTGCGACAGTGTGACTTCGTCCAAGGTCTCCGGAGCCACAAGTGGCCGGCATCAGGTGGAGAGATGAAGGACTCGTCTCTGGATGTCACTGGTTTTGCGTGGGGGACATTTGGTAGACTCTTTGAGTTTTTGTCCTGCCTCCGTGGAGCTAAAAGCCACGTGCAGGTGCTTCTGCCGAACCAGGTTGCAGAAGACCTTCATCAAGACGGGGTCTTGAAAGACATTGCCAGCAAATCGAAGGCAACGCTGCGACTCAGCACATCTAGCTTCTAGACTCCAAGAAGTTTCCAAGACTCTAGACGGTCTAGAAGAGTGCAGGCCACCGAGTTGAGACCAGTAGTATCACTTGTGTGAGACAAGGAGCACCAAGCAGTTTTGTAAAGGTACGCTGCGCCAATCGCGTTCTTGATAACAAGCCACTTGTCCAAAAGGCGTCCGTGGACCTGATGGAAGCTGTGGGCGAGTTCTGTCCCGAGATGAAAAACCAGCCTTGCTATTCCACGATACCGGCTCTCTCGGATTTTTCGGCTGTCGTCGGAGGCTGCACCAGTTCGTCGAAGGGCACCGGCTGCTCATCATCCGTGGGCAAGCAGGAAGCGAGCTTCAGGCAGCCGATCTCTTAGCATTTCTTAGCAGTCACAGTTCCTGTGCTTCTCATTCTGCCTGCCAGCAACACGAGCCTTTCCGAGGCAGTGGAAGACTTGCTCGGCAAGGCACCTGGGGTTGCTTTCGCCGCGTCTGTCAGCCATGACTCCTTCGAGCAGGCAAGATTGAATGGTCGAGCTCACGGTCCAGGCGAGAAATAATTCCGCGGCGTGACGGTTGTCGAAGATTGCTTATGTAATGCACTGTCCGCTACAAGCGTACATTTCCCTGAAAGGCGGCTCGAAGCTAAAAATCCTCCTTCCTAGGCCGGTCCGCAGTTTCGCTCCGCAAGAAAAGCTTGGCTAGACTCTGGAAGAATGCTATAGGCACCTCGCTGCTGTGGTCATCGGCAGAAGAGGGGCGAACATCAAGGACCTCTCCCAACAGCAGCCAAGAGTCCCAAATGACAAGATCAAAATGCCTGCCATGCCTTTTTGTGCGGTTGGTCAGGACCTTCAAAGAACGACCGGCACCAGCGTCCAGGCGAGCTGCTAGGTTGGCTTTTGTGCCTGTGCTATCCTGTGCTGCTGCATTGCTGAATGCCTCTGCAGGTGGAGAACGGTTCAACAGGAATGGATCGGGTGCGGTACACAGCGATGGGACGACCTGTCACGAGGGAGGTCTTGAACATGACGGCTTTCGAGGTGGCCACGGTGTGTGGATCTCCCGCAGCCATTTTGAATGCATTGGGGAGGCAGGGGTGCTTGTTTCGCTATGCTGCTGCCGTTGGTTGCATGCGGCACAGGATCCACAGCTTTGGGACGGAGGACGAGGCCATGACCCACGACCCAAGATGTCGGCCTGTTTTCCGTATCCAAGCAACTGAGGAAGGAGTTGGCTCCGATGGTCCTGACAGCCACGACCGCCCTTACGGCCATGGCCACGAAAGTCCTTTCCATAACCGTCCCGGTGATCATTCCGGTCCTTATCGCCACGATGGGCCCGATGGCCGTGATAGCCGTCATGGTGTCGACCCTGACGGCCCCCAAGCTGAGAGGGATGGGCGCCCTTGCTCGGACGAGGCGTGCATCTGATAGGTAGCAGCAGTTGTGGCCCACAAACCACGATGCCACCACCTGCCCAGGAGGAAGAATCGTTGGAGGATAACAGGCACTCATCGGGCTGTCAGTTGTCGTTCTCATGGCCATACAGTGGGAACATGACGTCATCGACTCAACGGCATCGCCCCACAGGTATTTATATGTCTCCTAATTATCGGCTTGG